CCTTCAGAACTCGGTATGGTCATTACGAATTTGTAGTTATGTCATTTGGACTAACCAATGCTCTTGCAACTTTCATGGATTTGATAATCAGAGTGTTCAAGCAGTACTTGGACTTGTTCGTTATCGTCTTTATTGATGATATCCTTTTTACTCTAGGAATGAGGAAGAACATGCGAGTCATTTGAGAGTTTTTCTGCAAACTCTCAAAGCTTAGAAGTAATAGACTTACAATAATGAAAACCAATGATTCTTGATTAAGAACTTGAATCCCAAGATCAAATGTTGATCAATTATCCAAAAGATAAAAACCAAAATAGAAAGCTATCGTGTTTGCAATGAAAACTTGTCTCAAAGTATCTATGATAAAAATAAAATAAAACCTCAAGTAATTAATTATAGTCTTCAAAAGGAATCCTAATCGAAGTAGGAAAGTAGTTCAATCGACAACATTCACGGACAGGCAAACATCCCGTGAAGCTTTTCACGGTCCATTCAAACCTTTTGTGATTCAACAATTAGAAATATTTTTTTCAATTTCAACTTCATCTTCCCATGAGTCACTGTATGGTTCGTATACATCTTGAAGGCTTGTGTAGGGTATCCGTTCAACTGACTTCATACTTGGACTTTAGCTTCTTCTAGGCCAACTTCATAAATAAGTTCACGGGTCGTGAATCAGTGCACGACTCATTTAGCCTTCAGTCCTCAGCAACTTTACTCCAATTTCAAGCTTTTTTTCTTCCAACTTCTTTTAACAATTCTTTTCCTGCACATTAACAAAAGAAACACCATATCTACAAAAACATGCTTGGTTCCTTGTAATAATTCTTTGTTTTGGGCGTCGAATGTGCTATAAGTTTGCTGCACAACATTTGTAGGTTGGCTAGTACAAAGTTGCACCAGTCCAAAAATGCAACTTTTCTTTTCCAATTCAACTTTTAAATTTCTGAAGTGTTACATAGTTCAATCGGAAACATCAGAATTTCATGAAAATCGGATACATGTGAAAATAGCATAATTATGATCATGAAAATACTTGCATGTTATGGGTTCATGAAATATCATTGAAAATATAAAATTATAATCAATTCATGCATAATAAGATATACCATGAAGAAGAATTTAAAATTCAACAAGAATCCATAAGGAATCATAAAACCGTAGATTTTGGGAGATTCATAAATTGAGAAATTTGAATTTCCTTGAGACTCAATGGGTGAAGAAGAATCCATTAATGGAATTCTCGCATACCTTGATTGAAACTCTAGCTTGAATTGGGAGAGGAGACCTGAAGCTTTGGAACTCTTGATCTTGCCTTAGGAGGGAAGAAATTGGTTTCTAGAGAATGGGAGTGAATGGGGAGGTTAGAGTATTTAACAATCAGTTATACCCACTTAGAATAGGCCAAAACATCATAGTATAGGAATTAAAATAGTGGGAAAAAACTAAAAAATCCATAACTTAAAATTGACGGATTGTCTCTACGGGCACCATCAACGAACTGTAAAACCTTCTATTGTCCGTGAAGCGGTCCATAAAAACCAGAAGGAAGAAATTCAGAATTCTAAAGTTTCCACTATACATACATTCCTACAGTCCGCAAAACATTCCACGGCCAGTCCTGGCCTTCCGTAAATGGCGGGGTTCTTTTGATATTTTTGAAGTTTAGGGACTTCAGTCCACAGTCTGTATACACTTCCATGATCCATACAAATCATTCGTCCTGTCAACCATTTTTTCAACTTTCGGAAGATGGTCTACGAAAGGGTTGACGGTTCTTGAACCTTTATACGGACCGTAAAAGAAACAGTAAACCCTGGTCCTGAAATTTCCAACTTTAGAGTTCAACACCACTGATACCTTCATGGTATGTGGTCCCTTTCACACTCCGTGAATGAGTCCCTACAAGACCATTTTTCTACAACATTCAAAAATTCTGCACTTTTCCAACTTTATCTTTGTTAGGCACTTTCGAGGTGTTACACTAATCTTATGTATCTCTGGTATCATGACGGAATAGATTTGAGATGGATTGATTCTGGAAGATCCAGGGTCGGGATCATATAGTATATATGGATTTCTTGAGTCCCCTATGGATTTTTCCATTCGTGTTCCGTATTGAACAAGAGGAGGGGTGTTTTCACGAGTCCTACCTTGCGTTACAGGGATCGAAGATAGGTATATATATAATTGGTTATGTGTGATCACTTGAAACTGATGGAATCATTGATTTTCATTGCATTGTGCATTCATATGCATTGTCTATCACTAGTATAATTGGTTGTTGTTTGCACCTTCATGTCTTATGATGGAGCAATTGGGTTATGTTTGTTGTTGTGTACCTTTCGAATTTTTGAGGGTTCAGTTAGGTTATTGTTGACTATGCTAATGTAGTTTGTGACAGGATGTGGTTGGTCTATATGACTGGCTTAGATTCATCTTTTGATTTCTTGTATATTTATCCTTTCAGACTTGAGCCGATTGGGTTGGTCTATTGGCTATCATTATGTTTCGTGCTGAAAATTGTTAGTATAATCTTGTTAAGCTAAGTTTCCATAGTAGAATCTTATTGTGGTTAAGTTAGTGGGATAGTGCCTTCCGATATCTTCCTCCACTTTAGATATTTGTATCTTATATAGTGCATTATGTTGTCTCCGCTTACTTTAATTGTGTTATCATTTCTTTAGATACTTGTAATAGATATTTCTTCTCTACCTGCTATTTATAGTTGCTTTATCCTTGGAGCTCAGTCGGCCTACGCCTTCTGAGTATTCAATTTATAAAAGTCCAAAACTTTTCCTCCAAAAAAAACATTAACCAAATTTGGAAGAGATCTTTTCCAACTGAGTAAACATTTTCTACAAAAATATAATAATTCTAACTATGATAGAAAATCAAGGCAAACCCCAACATTTTCCACCTTACCACATGAAGCTGTCCTTGACATATTTTGCAGACTGCTCATAAGATCTATCATCCAGTTGATCAGGTCAGTATGCAAATCAGGGTATGAAATATTGCCTGATCCAGAGCTTGTTCATTTGCAACTATCCCAGGCAGTGAAGAATAATCCATACTTTATTTTTCACTTTGATTACCCAATCAAGAATCAACTTTACTATGTGGAACTATCTGATCATGAACACAAAGGACTTGTAAGAAAACTTAACTTTCCTTTGTCAACATATATGTTAGAGTTCAATTTAGTAGGCTCATGTATTGGCTTATTATGGTTATATTAAAGTTCAATCTAGTAGGCTCTTGTAATGGTTTATTATGGTTATATGGTTCCGTACTCACACTACCAAAAAATAATCTTTAACGGCAATAACTTAATTGCCGCTAAATATGTTTTTTCTAGTGGCAATTAGCACTCTTTGTAAATGTCGTTAAAGCCTATATCGACATTAGATCCAATGACAATTAACTAATGCCGGTAAAGGCTTTAAAACTCTTTGTTAATGTGCATATTCATTGCCGCTAAAAATTGTTTTTGCAGTAGTATCAATGATAGACTCGTTCTGCACAACCCTTTTACTGGAGACTATAAAGATATCCTCAAATTCATTGAGTTTGAAGAGCAACAGGTTGTATTTCGATTTCATCCTTTTACCAAGGAGTACAAGGTGATCAAGATTGTGTACTATACAAATACCTATAACATACCTTCGAAGCTTCGTAATGTTAGAAGTGTGGATGCTAAGTAGAAGTGATGTTCAAATATTTAGTCTTAGTAGCAGTAAATGTAGGGGTATTGGGTAGTGCCCTACTTTCTTGATCCCAATTCAATAGGAGTTTTGGTAGATGAAAAGCTACATTGATTGAGTAAAGAGACATAGATGATGAGGGAGTTGGGCAGGTTCCTAGGCCTAATTTCAGATTTAGTTAACTAGCATATCTGATTATGATCTTGCAGTTCTAGGAGGGCGTCTTTCTGCGTTTTTAGCAAATCATTGTGTTAGTGGATGGTTGGGGATTTGGATAATGAAAGAGTACAGTGTGAAAAAACCTTGGATGATGATGTTTTCTGTGAAGCCTTACTCAGCAACGCGTTTTAATGACGGTAAAAAATTTCAGTCAGGCAAATCACCCAGATTTCTATGCATGCTAAAGAGTGGAGAGATCTTGTTGGACTACGATGGTTCGATCAATGCCTAATTATGTTCAAACTGTAGTCCATGTTGGTACCCTCAACTGGGTAAATTTTCTGTAAGCTTCAATACTGCCATTGACAGTAAACCATTGTAGCTTTTTTATACTAAAACAAAGTTGAAATCTTCTACTTCTTATTCTACAGGCACAGAAGGTGAATTATGCTAATACTCTTTAGTTCCGTTTTCCAGAATATCATAAAACAGGTTTATCATTCAACAGATAAACCGGAAAACGAAAGAAAAAAGAGAAACACCGATAAACAGGCCACCATAGATGGAATGGAAAGGCATTGCGGTGGTCTTTTCATCAGAGAGTTAGATATACAAACAAAAAGTTGAGTCATATTACCGGTTTGGTTCCCCACTCTCTCCGGAAAAAATAAAATAAATAGTACTATTATATTTTCTATCAAGGTCTCATTTACAATTTACAGGTTCCATTCAACCCCAATTGCAATACAATGCTTATCAAGATTTGTGTATGAGTTCTAACTTCTAAATGGGATTTGAGTAGACTTTTCTTCAATCCTTTCAAAACTCAACTCTTTAACTAAGAGTTCATCCTGATGGTTCAGTCGATTATCAAGCACTATCATCTTGTCCACCTCCAAACGAAAATCAGCACTATAATTGTTAAGATCATTCCAGCATATTTGATCCATCTATCAACACGATTTCTCTTCTCAATAAGTCTCATTACAGAATTTGATAGCCCCACAGTGTTGAGTACATCTAATGCTTTCCGTTGAGCTCGCTGCAACAAATCATCAAATAAGATACCAAGAGTTCAACAATAGTGGGAAAGACTTAACGTAAAGTTTTGACTTATTTGTGGACACTAGCACTGATCATGGCAAAGACTTCTCTTAATAAGAGTAAATAGGAGAGCATCTATATTACATGTATTATAAGTAGAAGGGCAGTCTAATGCATGAAGCATTTCATGTTCAAACGGGGTCTAGGGAAGGGCCGCACCGCAAGGGGCTTATCGTAGGCAGCCTACCCTAACAAAGCACTGACTCCACAATTTGAATCCTTGATTTATAGGTCACATGGAGACAGCTTTACCATTATCCAAGGCTCCTCTTCATATGTATTAGTATAAGTAGATCTTTTTCTTCACATTAACAAAGGGGTTACCACCCAAGAACTTGCATATTTAATCTGAAAAGTCAGCAATGTCAACTAGGATAAGCAAGTTTATGTGTCATCAGCCACCAATTTCAGACCGTAGATTTGGGACAAGATCAAAAATAGTCTCTGAACCAGAGCCAGCCAACACGAGCGCAAATAATATGACCTGCTAACAGTCCCTATTTCACATTATTGCATAGTTGCTCCCTTCTTTTTAATAGAAAAGAGGCAGTAGTAAAACTTGATTATCATGCTTCATAACTAGTTTAGAAGCCACAAATCTTTCATTGCCCATCTATTTGCCCAAAAAAGAAGGAAACAAACCACCATCAGCCAATGAGTACAACTTCTCAGCCTTCTGTCCTTGAACCAACCATAAGCAATTAAAATTAAAAAAGTGCCTGTTTGGATTGGCTCGTTCTTAGGTGTTTTTAAGCAAAAATAGCTTTTAAGCAGTTTTGTTGTGTTTGGAACTTAGGTAAAGTTAAAAAGTGCTTAAAAGCACTTGTTTTTAAGGCAAAATAACAAAAACAAGCCAAAAGCCATAAGTTAGAAATTCTAACTTAAGGCTTTTGGTTTATAAGTCATAAGCCAAAAGCCAATCCAAACAGGCCTTTAGAACAATAAGCTGACACACAGACAACACTGTTACCAAAAATGTAGGCAATTTCCTAGTTAAAGTAGGAGAGTTTCCCATCAGTTCAAACTCTGAAATATAATGCCATTGCAATAACAAAAAATATTGCATATCTACCCAGTGCAATATGTAACCGAGTGAATCAGGAGCCTGTTTACCTTTTTATGTCTAATGTATATAAAATTTAAATAAGGTGATCTACTGTAGGTACCTTTAGACGATCCCTTTGCTCACTATATTTTGAAAGAATAGCTGTCCCTGTTGCCAAGGTTTCTTCAAGCATTCTGGATGAGCTACGAGCAGATTGCGTTGCTTGAGCTTCGTCATCAAAAATCCTCAAAACATGAGATGAATCACCGCTCTAGGACATTACAAAAATAAATTAGATGGAATACGTAAGAGTACAGAATTATTCATCATATCAGCACAGAAAAGGTTGCATACAGCTCTTCCAAGTAATTCTGTTCTCTCCCGGACTTCTTGCATGCGTCTCTGATGCCGTAGATTATATTTATCCAGACTATCTTTCAAAGAGTCAGCCTCTTCAGCCACTTGTTCCACTTTCCTGTACAAGTAAGACACAGACTTTCAGTTATGGAATAATAACTTCTAATTAGAGCGAAAGACTGACTACGACTAAGCACACACTACGGAAAAGTATGTCTCTCTCTTTGACTACAGAAAGAGTAAGCGAAAATACATTGGCTTATGAAAATTGTGCTTTCTCCAGTGCATCTCGTTCCACCATTCATGGTTAATCTATATGAGAAAAAAAATTGCTTAGAAGTACAGGACTGACAATTTTGTACTTAGAAACCCTCATGAATTACATGAGTTCATCATCAGTCAACCATTTTATTAATCAAAGGGTTGAGAAACTAATTCAGCCTCATCAAAATTTGATGAGCCCTAGCCTAAATTTTTTAGAATCATCACTATGGTTCTACTAAATTTAAAAAAATTAAATACAAATTTCTCCCATGAAACACGCATTTGCAGTATAATCTAGGACGTTAACCATTATAAATGTACAAATTACAATTTTTTTCAATTAAAAATGATGAATGATTGGATAATCCCAAATCTGGACATATACCAAACTAATCAGGTTTATCTTTCAACAATCTGATTATTGATGGATCCTACGAAATCATACAATATCATATTACCTCAAAACTGAGACCTGTACAAATTTGAGCATGTCAAGGATCCAATGAAATTCATTTTGTCTAATATTATACAAACTAACTCGAAAGGAGCATTTTCACGTGAAAGATCTAAAATCAATATTTAAAATGACATGCAACAACCACAACAAATTCAATATAGTCCCACAACGTGAGATCTGGCGAGGATACAGTGTACGTAGACCTTACCCCTACTTTAGAGATGAAAATGACATCCATTGTGTCAAGTTTGATTTTAAGAATTCACAGTTTCATCTCAAATTACTGAATGACAAAGACTCTTCAATTCTAACTATGTAATATAAAGAACTATATCATTGGCTCATAGTCAGAAAGAATGAAATCTTAAATAACATTTTCACCATAATCAATCAATCAACTATGAATCCTCAACTTCCACTTTATTCAATTCCATTTCCTTCCACTTTATCTATGCCTAATCAAACCACACACGAACAGCCAATTTAAATTTCAACTATAGGAATCCTTAATAGAAAACATAAGCCAAAAGTGAACAAAGAGGCAGTTGAATTCAAAATTCAAACATCACAATTCCGGGAGAACAAAAAGGTAACCTTTTCCAGAGATCACGTTGAGATTTAGCAGGTATGGAATGCCAGAGATGTTCCATTTCGGAGCAAAGTAACTGGATCTGGCTGATATCTTTTCTCAAATCCTCAACTGCTTTCTCCGAAGGATCGTTCACGGCGGCGCCCAATGACAACACGGAGGAAGAAGAGGTGTATTCGAAACGCTCGAGCCTCTCTAAGCCATCTCTTGTTTTGAGTAACAGCCGCCGGGAACTCTGATAGAGCTCCGATAACGTTACGCCACCGCCGGCGACCTCAACGGACATCGCCATTGTTGTTTGGAACCTTTTGGCTCCCGAAGTTTATCAACAATTGCAGAAATTCTACCCTGTAGTTTTGGATATAACAATAAGGTACTTGTTTCAAGTTTGCCTAATAACCCCGGAAAGGATGAGAATGGTTCATAAAATTTGGGGCTAATATATTTACTTTTTTTTTTTGTGAGAATTCAAATATTCTTATTTCTAATTCTATTGGAAAATAATTTAGTCATATTCTGAAAATTATACATAAATTGCACTCCTCTTAATTAATTTTCAATATGAATTTGACACCGAGATTTTGTGGAATGGTGTTGTTCCCCAATTCATAGAACATAAGCTTTTATGGGATAATTATTATTTTTTTACTAACGGCTATTTTAGAAAAAATAAAAAATGTAAATCTAGTTAGAGATCTTCTATCCCCCGTCTCTAATGGATACAAACAACTATCAAGGATTTAACATGCCAAAATGAAATACTAAAATCAATCATCTTGCTTATGTAAAAGATACAATCATTTTTCATATCAATAGAGAGATACTCAATCGCTATAATCAAAAAAGTTTTGCAGAATATAAAAGGCTCTCAAGAAAACTTATAAATACTGATAAATTTGCATACTAATGCATTAAAACACATCAGATACTTTATCACTAGAAGTGGCCATTGATGGGGCGACTTCTAACATACACACAAGTTATGTGGTCGTCCAAGTAATACAGGTTGGTGAAGTTCAGATGCCTCTTAAAAATGCCCATTGGTCAGATTAGAGAAATGAACTCAAGAAAGGTGGAGAGGGAAGATTTTCCATGGAAAACAACTTTGTCCTTCCTTTTAGACTCTGCGTCAGGAATTCGATTCGCAGGCAAAAACAAAGTTGAATGAGTGCTAAGGCAACAACTTGGCGTCGAGATAGACAATGATATACTTTATGAATAGAATTAATTATTGACACGTATATGCATTGTAGAATTGATGTAAATAACATGATTTGGCATGTGGACATGGTGTTCAGATGTATATATTGAAAAGGATAGATGAGAGTTGTCACGTCCCAAGCCTACACCCTGGCGTGCCTGGCACTCGATAACCACTGTTGGCCCCAAGCGAACCCTTGGTCTGGCTTACTGACTCAGCAAAAGACTTGACTCAATCATAACTATACTTTTCAAAAGTAAATTGAAAGCTCAAAACAACTGAGAATGTATTAAAATAACATTTACTAGCCAAAGTTGCAACTCAAGTCTCAACATAATAGAATGAAATGAAAAGACTAAAGAACTAACATCTGACTGTCTATGAAGCATCTAACAACTGAGATGGATGTCGAGACAAGACCCACGACATCCTAATGAATTAAACATACTGAACGCAATAAAAGGGGGATCCTCCAGAAGCAAGGAGTCTCACCAACAAACTCTAAAGCTCAATCTAGAATCAACGATGCACTGGATGTTGATCTTGGTTACATGTATCTGCATCATTAAAAGATGCAGGCCAAATGGCATCAGTACATTGAATGTACGAGCATGCGAGGGGAAATCTAAAACAAGACATAAGCTTGAAAGGAACTGAAAGAACAAACCTGGTCTCAACTAAACTGAACTGAACTGAACTCATTTCAATATAAAGCAATAATATGAATGCAGTATAGAGAAAAGCTTTTAAAACATAGATAACAACTCTGTGTATTTAGAAATACAATAGTAACTCTATATGTATGCAAAAATACAATATAAACTTTGGAATGTATATAAAAATACAACTTACATCTGTGTATATAAGAATACAAAATACTTATGTGGGAGTTTCTCTAACCGACAACCATCACTTAAGAGCTATTGTGATGATACATTGTTTTACCTTTCGCGGTCAGGGCCGTCCTATACCTTACCGAGGGTATAGAACCTGACTACTAAGTTGATCTACTAGTCTATACTAAAAATCACTAAGGAATCATCTAAAAAGTATGACCCTTTTCTACCCATGGTGGCTACATGGTTTATGGGGGGTGGGAGTTGTCTCAACTCTCCCCCATATCGATACTCAATACTACTCCCAAAATATAATACTAGCTCTTATGCTTAAAACCATAACTTCTTTCTATGGTTTGAGGTAATTGCTCAAAACTTAGCTCAAAGGCTCTTTTTGGAAATCAAAGTTTCCTCTCTTGCATAATTGTAAAAGCATTTACTCTTTATTGAAAACTAGCTCAAAGGCTCTTTTGGAAAAATTTCCTTTCTTGTTTAAATATGAAAACATTTTACTCTTTAGTAATACATAGTCCCGATATACTCTTTTGAAGAAATGAACTTCAATCTTTACTTTTTACTCAAGTCTTAAAACGAAGTTAAAACGTTTGTAAAAGACTTTGGAAAACTCTATGAACTTCTCTAGACTGAAAACTTAACTTTCCTTGAATTGAATTATGGATTCAAGGCTCATGATCTCATGTTATTGATGATTTCATGTTGTTTAGACGTACCATGGAGTGTAGAAATCAACTAGGAAACATAGGTATGTTTCAAGGGAACTAGTATGGAAAGAAGTGGTAAAAAGTAAAAGACCTGGCGTCCCTGGCGCTTCAGAACTGAAGTTGGGGCGCCCTGGCTGGTGCGGCACCCTAGGGCCCCAACTACAAAGCATCTTCTGGGGCGCTCTGAATGGCGCGACGCCCCAAGTGGCGCGGCGCCTTAGCTCCCTCCCTAGGTGTTTGACAATTTTTCTTGCTCGTTTTTCAACTTTAAACCCTCTAAACTCAATTGTACCTTTCCCCAAATACTTAGATTCGACTACATAATCAAATTATGCAAGAGTCTACTCAAAACGACATCTAATTTCATGAATTTAAATCAAGAACTCCTCAACAACTCCAACAATCAAGAACCCAATAGAAACTTCAAACAAATCCATCAAGAACTCGATTTCTAAACCTTCAAGAATCTAAATTCGCTGAAATAAACCATGATTGGCACGTGGGTGAACTAACCTAACGCTATGTGATCTCACATACCTCGTAGGGATCACCCCTTGACGAAATCCACAAGCAAAACCTCAAGAACGATGAACTTTGGCTCTTTCTCCTCTTTTCTCCTTTTGCGTTCTTTTTCTAAAAACCCTAGCGTGAAATCTTTGAGTGCATAAACTGACCAATTTCAGTTTAGAACCCTAAGTAATTACCAAAAACGAATAATTTAATTGGGTAGTGAAAAGTTCATAATACCCTTCTAAAATCCGATTTTGACTTTCCTTAGCTAGGTAGCCCAACTTCAAATGGCCATATCTCACTCATACGAACTGAAAATCGTGCGAACTCGGCGGCATTGGAAATATAATTCAAAGATCTTTCCTAAGGTATCTGGTATCACACCTAAATCATCCTAAGCTAGGAGTTATAGTTGTTTGAAGTTGACCCAAAACTCATACTTAACTTAATTTTGTCAAATTTCCAGATTTTTCATTCTTTCCAAAAATGATTCTTTCTAATTCTAGCTCTTTCTAGTTGCGGGGTGTTACAATATCCCCCCCTTGGGAACATTCGTCCTCGAATGAGATCAATCATAGCAGGCTAAGGGGATAACATCTAACATTTAGTTCAAACACCCAACAAGCAAAAAATGCAATTTCAACAAACCAACTTAAAAATTAATGCCAAGAAAAGGATTAGTACCTTAATTTGGAACTTCTCCGGATTCAAAGAGATGTGGATATCTCTTCCTTGGCTTCTCAAGTAGCTTCCTCAACAAACTGATTCCTCAAAAGAACTTTGACTAATGCTACCTCTTTTGTTCTCAACTTGCGAACTTGGCAATCTAGAATCTGAACAGGAATCTCCTCATATGATAAGCTATCCTTGATACCAATATATTCAGTAGGTATGATAAGTGAAGGATCGTCCATGCACTTCTTCAACATGGAGATGTGAAATACTGGATGAACCGCTATTAACTCTTGTGGTAGCTCCAACTCATAAGCTACATTGCCAATCCTCTTGGATATTTTGTAAGGACCAATACACTGGGGACTAAGTTTCCCCTTCTTACCAAATCTTATAACACCTTTCAGGGGTGAAACTTTCAAGTATACCTAATCATCTACTTCAAACTCTAACTCAATTTTCCTAACATCAATGTAGGATTTATGACAACTCTGCACTGTTTTCAACCTCTCTTGAATAACTTTCACTTTCTTTATAGATTAATGCACTAAGTCTAGTCCTATCAACCCAGCTTCATCAACTTCAAACCATCCAATAGGAGATCTGCATCTTCTCCCATAAAGAGCTTCATACAGAGCCATGTGGATGCTAGAGTGGTAACTATTATTGTAAGCAAACTCAAGGAGAGGTAGGTGATCATCCCAATTACCCTTGGAAATCAATCACACAGGCCCTAATATATCTTTTAAAGTTTGAATAGTGCACTCTGCTTGACCATCTAACTGAGGATGAAAAGCAGTACTTAAGTTCACCTTGAACCCAAGCCTTTCAGAAAAGATTTTCAGAACTGTGCAGTAAATTGTGCACCTCTGTCTGAAATAATGGAGACTGGAACTCCATGAAGTCTTACTACCTCTTGAATTTATAACTTGGCATAGTCCTCTGCTGAATGGGTAGTCTTTACCGGCAAAAAGTGGCTGATTTTGTCATTCTATCAACAATCACCCAATTAGAATAATGTTGTCTGCGAGACCGTAGCAACCCAGTAATGAAATCCACATTGATCATCTCCCACTTCCAATCTGAAAGTTCTATATTCTGAGTCATACCACCTGGCCTTTGGTGCTCTACTTAAACTTGTTGACAATTCAAACATTTAGCAACGAACTCAACAATGCCTTTCTTCATATTATTCCACCAATACACTTCTCTCAAGTCACGATACATCTTTGTGGAACCCGGATGTATTGAATATCTAGAGCTATGAGCTTCCTCCATGATCCTCTCTTGGAGTTCATCCGCCCTTGGTACACACAATCTACCTTGATACCTCAATACACCATCTCCCCCTTGTTCAAAAGCCAATACTTTTTGCTTATGAACATTTGCCTTCAATTCAAGAAAAATAGGGTCTTGGTGTTGATTTTCTTTCACTTCTAACACTAATTATGATTCAGCTCCATTCATCACAACTACT